GTATATATATATATATACGTATATGTATATATATATCAATATATATGTATGTATATATATATATATACATATATATATATACATATATATATATATATATATACACGTATATATACTTCTAAAAGTCGTGTATCATGCATAGGAACGTTGACGCCTGCAAGGCTCTGGTTTAACAAGATTTTGTTTTGTCCTTGTTTGGTGTACAGTAGTAGCATGGTGTGGTAAACCTGGTTAGTAGGCTACATATTAATGTTTTTCTCATAATTAAACTAATGTTACCTGTATAACCAGATATTAGTTTTAGCCAAGTATAGAAGGATTTTAGGCCTGACAACACCCACCCCTGATGTATACCCCAATCTTGAGGTGGTTTATACAGGCTAGATTGAAAATTCTAACCTTACGGTCGTCAGCTGAGTAATCACGTACCATGTTGGCACATACCCAGGTTAGAGACAAATACAATATATTTAATATTGTTGAATTGCAGCTGGTATAGTAATATTTTCAATACACTACAGGATGGTTACATTTTCAACATGCATTGAAGGATGGATATTGGCTCACAAAAAAAATACATAATTACACACTTATTTCTTTATTTAGATGTCCAGGATGCTGGCAGCGAAGGCATCTCTGGCGATTCGAGTTGATGCCTTGTCAGAAGAAACTTCAACAGAAATTGGTATCGAGAGCCGAGCCAAGTTAGAGAGCCGGTTGAGGGCGCTAGAGGATGGAGGTGTAAGTTGATTTAAGTGAAATATAACAATTAAAACTTGAAAATAAAAACATACATTTCTTGAATTTTTTAAACTGGTTATTCTATAATTGCTTGAATTTGTTTATTTTTCATATTATTTACATATTTCTTATATATATATTTTTTATTGTACATATTTCACATATATTGTAATGATAATTTTATTTATTTACTTAACATCTGAGACATGGTAAAACCAGCCGTTTGTTTTGGTGTTTTTAGATTCAGCATGCATTCTCTTTGAAACAGTGTTTATTTGTTGGAAATTTGTTGAGTATCAGCGAAGTTATGAATACTTATTTCATTGGATATCAGCCTTGTAGCTTTTGAGAAAGCAGCTTCCAAAGATTTCAAATTAAGATTTGTGTATTTAAAATAATTTTAATATACAATTCAGTTAGATTTAATGATTGATAATTGCAAAATGTTCTTCAATTTATCTTCTTTAATAAGTGGAAAAACCTGAAAATGAATTCTGAAACTAGAACATTTTTTATGTTTGATCAGGTCGCATATATAGTTTATATATTTGTCTCTGACACCCCATGAGGGTTGGATCCTTACACTGGGAGTATGGCCCTACACCCCAAAAAAAAACGAATATTCGCACATTTCTCCTCTGCTACTCCCCTAGTATATACATGTAGGTATGCATATTCATTGCTGAATTGCCAAATAAGGTTATATGTATTGAATCAATATTTATAGATGAGGAGAATAAGTGGAACTGGTAAGGCTAAAGCAAAGTTTGACAAATATGAGAATAAGAGTGATGTAAAGATTTACAACCCCGCCCTTGACTCAACACTACCATCTGCCGTCCCAAAGAAGCGTAAAATCGAAGAGGTTGATGAGGAGGAGGAGGAGGATAGTTCAAAGCGAGTAAAAGTAAAACTTGAAAATGGTTCCAGTGAAGAAAGTACAACAAAAAAGAAGAAAAAGTCAGTAAAACAAGAGGAAGAAGGTATGTTAAAAAAAAATACTACAGGTAATCCACTTAACACATAGCCTCTTAAATTTGGATGTGTAGCGTTTACAGATAAATATAGAAAAATAAATAAATAAATTTAAGTAAATTACTCATGTAGCGGAGGTGCTTGTACACCTGTTCTGTTCTTACCATTCTTGTGTTTTTCGTTCAGCGAAAGTGAAAGAATAAAATATAATAATACTTCATTAAAAATGCAGATTATTAAAAATTTAGCTTTGATATACTGACTTTTTAATACAAAAATCTGTAATTTGATTACTCTAGCCAAATTTAATTGTGTTGTACATACAAGAATAGCGGATATTTATTTTGTTAATAATTCATTTGCTTTTTTTTTTGTAGAAGAAACACCAAAGAAAAAAAAGAAGAAGAAAGCAACAGAAGAACCCGAACCAGAGCCTGAACCAGAACCGGTAAGAGAAATATTTAAATAATTATACTCCTAGAGACACTTAGCTATTGTCTCGTGTGTAAGTTGTGAGAGTAAGTCTGGTTGGAGCAGTGATGATATCCATCATAAGCAGAAGGCAGAAATAAAGTCTTACAAAAGTAAGTCTACGAAATATGATGCCATACCTCGATAAGTCAGCAATCTGTTACTTGTACAGTTATTCAAGTGACTTGCCAACACAGAAAGCGTGTTTTGTGTCTCGTCTGTTTTTAGATGAGACATTTAGGCCATTGGTCGTCTGTGTAATATGGCCCTGTGCACTTTGAAGAACACTGTACCTCTTCGGTAAAGTGTAGAGAAATGTCTCCCAGTGTACTCCCTAAGTTCCTCTAGAATTTGGATGTTAATCATAAAAAATATCAACAGACATTTTGTGGTTTGTTTATTTTCTCAGGTCAGCACTGAAAAGAAAAAGAAGAAAAAGAAAAAGAAGGCAGTAGAAGAGGAAGATTGAAACTTGACATAATTAGGTGAAAAATAATCAAATGCCCTGGCCACAAGTACTTCAAAATCATTGATAACCATTGAGTCAATCTTGATATGCTTTGACCTCTAATTGAAATTGAACCATGCAATAACTTTCCATAAGGACATGGTTAAAATTTCTAAACCGAAGGCCATTGCTTTGTTACTATGTACTATGGATGGGTTAAAACCTAAAATTTACGTATCATTTTAAAGCTTATAATGTGAAAAATATGAATATACAGTCAAACTTGCCTAAAGTCAACCTTATTTTGAAATTGCCAAATTGCAGTGTTTTCCATTTATTAACGATCTGTAAGTCAATTTTATTTAAGTTAAACCATTTTTTTCATGCTATTTTGGATTCGACTTAAGCAAGTTCAACTGTATATTAAAAATAGTCAATTCTTGTTTTGGCATGGCAAGCCCCATATGTTGCTAAATTCATAAGATACTGATAGTTTCTGTTAGGTTAAAAAGGTGGAGTCGTTAGACAAAAAAAGATGTACTGTCCTTTTGACCGTGTTTACCGCTCTATAGCTCTACTACTGAGCTATGCTGGTGTACTACCTTTCATTTCTGTTTATTAGGACTTCATTTAAAATGGTACAGTAGTTGATGGGCCTTTGGTTCAATATCAATGCGGCCATTACTTTTTCGCAATCCAAAAATGATTCTTAACAAAATATATTCGAGTCTAAAAACAAAACTATTATTGTCCTGGCACGTGGAATATTAAGTCCTGCTTACGCATAGCCGGTAGCAAAGATAAGCAGGTATGGTGCTATAAACTGGTCAACAACCTTACTTGGGGGTGTTAATAGATTGTACCAATTGAGTTCACAGACGAAAACTGCAGAATAACAGGTGAACAGATTGTGATGTGGTTTACTAACCACTTTTTAACACAGTACTGTATGTTATTGAACCAGCACAAAAATGATTTGTTCTAGTGTGCGCACACTGCATTGGTCGATGGGTTATCGAATCCATTATCACTATGCGAGTGCTTAATGCCGCCTACTGTTTTGTCCGCGGATTAAAACTTTATATGGTCTGTTGCATTTCTCTTGGAATCGGCTGACGACCAATGGCGCAGTACGTGCCAATTTCAGTGACATCTGAGAAATAATAAACTTTTATAGGGGTGGTGGTTTGTTGTCTACAAATGATATTGATGATGATATAGTGAAATAAAATGACCATTTTAAGTTTGTTATTTGTACATAAGATGTGCAGTATTATTGTACTGTACATACAATTGTGTTTATCAACATATTTTTAAAACGCATTTTGTGAAATTGGTTTTATCTTGAAAGTGGTTTGACGCAGCAGGAGGTTGGGTTTTCAATCCCTCATGTGCATTTTACTTGTGTCCTTCAGCAAGGCGCTTTATCTGCATTGCTTCTCTCCACCCAGGAGTATAAGTGGGTACCTGGTAGGGTTAAATGTGCTGATGTAGCTGCTGCATCCTTATGGAATACTCCAACAGGGAGTTTGTGTTCCATAGGCATTTAATCCAATGACTGGGGTAATGATAATGTGAATCGCATAGAGGGCTAAACAATATGCACTGTATAAATCTACCATTGTCATTAAGACAGTAAAAACAGTGGATTATGTGATAAGTCAGATTTTCTTAGATGCACTGATTTTATTGATATTTCTGATCATACAGTATCCAAGTGATTTATGGGCCATAACATTCAAATTTGTTTCAAAAATGTTCATTTTATTAAAACTTCTTCACTAGTACAGTAATTATGAGTAAACATTTGTCATCTGCAGTGTCCTTGTGTATATTTTACTGGTTCTATGGTAACCTTAAATTATCTAAAAACAACTGAATTCTGATGTTCGGGAAAAGCAAAATACATGACTGACAAAGTGCCCATCCCCTTCCCAAAGAAAGTCTGATAAAATGTTTATAAATGGAACATGTTATAAAACCATATTTTTAACAGTACATTAAGATTTTAGGGATGCCATACATTGCCTAAAACATTTGCAAAATACACTTTGTACTACAACCAATTTAAGATCCATGTAAAAAATGTCCATGATAATTATCTTATATACTAAATGGTTATACACAGAACTAATTACAGTATTCTGGCATGCATGCAGGTATTAATAAGTATGTTATGCATTCTATGGAAGTTTATATCAATTTTTAAATGTAAAAGAGCTCCTTGGAACTATTATTAATCTTGTGTAATACTCCTTCAGTAGATGGGAAAAGCATTGTCCTTGTAGAAAACAATATCTAACATGCTGTATAAAAAAATAAAATTTAAAAAAAGTTAATTTTACTACTGTATTTAATCAAAAACCCTATCTAAAATCGTTGGACATAAATTGCACAATTTGTAAGGAAAAAAGCACCCATCCAAGGCAAAATTAAAATAATATAGTGCACACAATTTACTGGCACGTAGTTTGTACACCAGCATTATAAATATGATATATGAAAAATACAATAGCACTATACTATATTATGTCTAAACAAATTTGAAAACAATACATATTTATACTATCACTGCTCTTTTATAATACGTTGGAGCTTGCATTCCAATTCCGTGGTCCCAGTTTAATTTCCAGGATTGTTACTTGTGCCTCCGCACACCACCTCAAAGGGTGTTTAGAGATCTATAGAGCTTTATTGTACATACTCTACATAGTTAATCCTATAAATTGGATGAGAACTAAATTTAAACATGAATTGTTGAATTCATTTAAACTTAAAGTAGATGATAGCACCAAGATACATCATCTATGATCTTGTATTCAAGACCACTAACAACAAATTTTGTATTTATAAAGCTATACAATAATTATCAACAACATTTTAAAATGTTGCGCTATTGGGAGTAATAAATTACAATCAAAACCATGATTTACGAAGCCCAATAATTCTGTTGCCTTTGTCATGTATCCAAAACGGACGTGGTCAATCATCAACAAAAGCCGATCATAATCTCTCAATTTATGGCATACGTGTCTGAAAATGTGCAGTGCTTACCAGAAATTTATAACAATACTTTAATATTACATAATAGTATTAACTTTGCTAAATATAAGAATAAGTCGCTCAAGTCATACGGAATCCTATACATATCATCCCCAATCATCTTTGATATATTCTTCATGGTTTGCATCCCCTCCCCACACAACTTTTAAAGAAGCATATGTTACACATCAATGACGTCACCTCTTCCTTGAATTCAAATTTTGAAAAAATCTTCACTAAAGGATATTCAATGAAAGTAGAATCAAATACAATCTTTTGGGCTATTTTCTATAAATGTTATCTGAAGCTGTGGCGTTTCCCCTTCCCTGAGCCGGCCCAGGCTCCTAAAATTTTCAAAATTATTTTTTAAAAAATGGAGAATTATTAAATTCTGAGAGTGCAATTTTTGACCATCTAGAGGTCCCATTATACATTTTCTTACCAACCATGGGGCTAAGGTGGTCTAGACCCTTTGTCTGTGAAAGTCCCTCTCTAGGTCCCCTATATTTCAAATTCCCCCTCTCCCCCCTCCCAACCAGTCCAGGCCCCTTTATTTATGAAAATTATGATTAAATTTGTCAGAGTGCGACTTTCGCCCATCTAGCTAGGGGTGCCATTATCATACATTTCCTTACCCTCCGTCTGTGAAAGTCCCTCCCTGGGTTTGCCACCGTGAAAAATAAAGCATGTGATTAGGCATTAATCTCTCCACTGCCATTATAGGTTGAACAATAGTTTTTTGTCATCTTTGACATTGGCACCTTTACGAAATTTGTGAACAGTGTGCATTGAAATCTGCACATAAGTAATTATAAAAAAGACTGCATCTCAAAAATACTTGCAGAAGGAATGAAAACGATAAAATTTTTGGAATTCATCAGCAGCAAAATTGAATGAAAGGTTAAAGTGTAATTGTTCAAAATTGTCCCATGTTAATCACATGTCTCTATGCTGCTAATGTCACTAATTATTACTTGCTTAGCATGAAATTTATGATCAATTAGGTTTTTTTTTTTATTAAGAACACATATTTCTCCATGGTTAACCTAATTCATTGAGCGTGTGCATTTGTAATCATCAATACTGTATTTCTAGATAATTTTACGGTGGGCATGCACATAAATGATCACAGGAATGGTTAAATGAGGATAATTTACATTCAGATTTAAATCATCAAGTGAACTTACTACCTATTTTCACTGACAATTGTTATATTACCAAGTTTATCATATCACTTCCACAAAATATGGTTATATAACCTCCAATTGCAGGTGGAACATAATAAGGGGTACCTTTTCTGGTTATCGTATGTTTCCTGTTCATGTGTCCTTTCCCCTAAGATTTTCTTGTCGCAGTGATGACCATTTTGATTTATTAATTACAGTACCATATTAATTACAGTACCATATTAATTACAGTACCATATTAATTACAGTACCATATTTATTCGTATAAATGCCCCCTCTCGATCTTCATTTGGAATAAATGCATTCCTTCGATTACACACCCCGAGGTGTCCTCCAAATGACTGTAAACAAATCTAATGCAAGCAACATCATTCTCAACACATTCTATTAATGTTCTACTCCAGTAGAATTACACTATTCTAACATAGTTGAATGATAGTCTTGATGATCATGCAATAAGACATTTTAACTGTAATTACTGGGCAGATGCAGGGGGGTGCAGACAGTGTGATCACATCCTAAAGTATATTAAGAAAAATAATTGTTGTATTGAGTATTGTTGATATGAATTACTGGTAAGATTTTTAAGGTATGAGAGTGCAATTTGCGGGCATCTTGTGGTCCATATTCTCTACATTTTCTCATCTCCGCCCCAACTATTGTGGGGCTGAGGTGTGGAGTCACCCACCCCCTACCGTCAAATCCTACATCTGTCCCAGTAATTATGTGTTGTAGTTCCACATTTAGAGTGAAATTAAAAGGCGTTTTTTTTTTTAGTACATATGTATTCATTTTACACCCAAAAAAAATCCCAAAAGACCTCCCTGGAATTAACACCTCCTCAAATATCCTTCTCGACAATAAATGCCCCAGGCAGTATTTATAATGGGTAGATGTTAAAATACACTTTATAATTATTCGTAGTATACATCATTTATGAAAAGTGATTGTTAATTTTTTGGTAGCTGTATATTTCACTTTGAGATAAATTTTTCTTTGGCTGATTCTAGTAAAATTCTTTTGAAAAATTTTCACAGTCAGCTGTTACAAGAGTTTGTATACAAGGAATTTCAGTTATTAAATCAGTGACCATGCAACAAAAGTTTAATTTTTGTAGAATTTTTCATTGAAATTGGATTATAAAATTGATTTTAAGCTGCGTGACAATAATTAAATTACATTATGTAAACTCTTAATGTTGATCTTATAAAATGTTTCAGATACCATCAACAACATGATACAACTTTACTGCAGTTTTTCAAATATAAACTTTGTTTTTAAGCAAGTACATACTATAAAATTAAATTCAATTTCCCTAGCAATAAAATATATTACCATTAGAATTTACTTTATTTAAAACAATGACAGTTTCTCTATTAAAATTATTAATAACTAGGTAAATACCTTATTATTCATAAGCTAGCATAGAAGGTAAACAGTACCCTCAAAATTGTCAGGCACAGGGGAAAAAAAGGCTACAGCAAGCCTATACAATTTCATGGAATATTTCAGAAACAGAAAATGAGTTATGACATGTATTTAAACTTGCAAAGCTCTTAATAAAACTGCCACTAATTTCTTATAAACAAGCTACTTACAGTAAAAAACTTTGTCACTTAAAAAAACATCACTATAACACTGTTTTTGTTACAGCGTAGGAGGCTTACATAACAGTGAAAGATTGATGATATCTGATGGTCAACATCGTAGTATAATTTGCTCATCTTCATTCTTTTGTCTTCACCAGCTGTAGTTTCCTGGTGTCCATGACTGATGGAATGGCCTATGGAAAAAATATACTTGATAGTAATGATGCAAAATATTTAAAAAAACAAAGTGCAAATACAGTAATACAAAAATAGAAATAGTTTATAATGAAATAATCCATATTATTTAAATGATACAAATCACAAATTGAAAATGGTTTTGGCTATGGAAAAGTTAGAAATATTTAACAATTTGGTAAATAAAATCAATGATTTAAAAACTATTTGTTTTGTTCAAATTAAATAATCCAATTCATAGTTTAAACTGTGCATGCCCGTATTCGAGGTCAATCAACCTAACTATGTTGTCGATAAACCTTGATACAAGCATACGCAGTTCCAACTATGAATTGGCTTATTATACTGGGGTTTTTTACCATCATGCAGGAATGTAGAAACGTGGGCAGAGCCACCCAGCCTTGAAGTTTTCCACCCAGTCTTAAGCTAATTTCAAGGCCCTCCACCCACCCTTATTAACCCACTTTTCCATCTTTAAAATCCGCTCTTTATTATTTAGAATATATTAATGTTATCACCTACCCACCTTTAGTTTTCTACATCTACAAACCGGAGCTTGGGATCACCTTTAACTGTTTGGTTTTGGAAATTTAGATTTATGAAAATGTTATTATATTATAGCAGGCCATTTGGGCAATTAAAATAATATGACCAATTTACTTAATTAACCAAATTTTTCTGATGCAACTTACATATTTTCAATAAAACTTGAAGATCTCCAGATCTCTTGCTGCATTTCAGGATTTCCTCGTACTCCAGCAAGTGTTCTATCATCAAGACCCCTTGGGTCCATTCGTGGGTCCATCCTGGGGTCCATTCGCGGATCTGACCTTGAATTCATACGCAGGTTTTGAGGTTGCATCATACGGTAGTCCATTCTCTGCTCAGATCTAGGATCTACCCCAAGGGGCTCGACCCTGGGAGGTAACCTTCTTTCACCTGACATGCGGCGCTGATCAACATGTTGGTCTGTCGTCATTTGTTCTGACGTCGTTTCTGGGCATATACGGTTATCCCCACCAGAACCTGATGAATGCGTAATTACAGACTCTGCTCCCCGATTTTGCATTGGGTACTCGGCCAAATGAGGCTTATTTTCTTCAGACCTGCCTTCCATGACATTCAACGGTGCCTGAAGAAGCTGATCTACTGCAAGAGACATCACCTGCTGCGAGACATTCCCCTGATTGGTCAATTCCGGTTCAGGATACCGGGCATTGGGTTCACTGCTACTACTGACTCGAGTACGCTGCCTAGGTCGAGGAGATTTTGATTTTGCAGAAGTCTTTCTCTCAACACCATGTACAGCCCACCAATCAATTCCATGCACCGATTTTTTGTGTGTTTTTAAGCTGACATTGTGCGCAAAGCTAGCAGGGCACTGTGAGCATTGGAATGGTTTCTCGCCTGTGTGAACGCGCATGTGAGCCACCATGCTATGCTTCTGAACAAATCCTTTGTTACAAACTGAGCAATGGTACGGCTTGTCATTTAAATGTATCAATTTGTGGCGTTCTAGGCGATGACTTACAGTAAAAGTTTTTCCACATTCTTCACAAATAAAGCTACGTTCTCCGTGGCTTTTCCTTGTATGGTTTCGTAGATTTTGTTCAGTCCAAAACTCACGTTGGCATATCTCACAAGCAAATGTTTTACCACTTTCCGAGTTCTCATGCCATTTTTTGTGCTGGTTAAAACCAGAGTGGAAAGTAAATGTTTTTGAGCATTTTTCACACTTGAATGGTTTATCAGGAAGATGACGTACACGATGTCGCTGAAGCTGGTGTAGGTGAGCAAACCCTTTCCCACAAAACTCGCAGACACACCGCACAAATGGTACACCGTGAACAGATTTCAAATGTTTCTCAAACACAGGATGAGTTTGAAACTCTTTTTCACAGTGTTCGCACTGATACAGCTTTTTAAATAAGCCACTGTCGTGTAACGCCATATGATCTTTGAACTCTTTCTTCTTTGGAAATTGTTCCTGACATTCTTCACAGAAATTCTGTTTCTGGTGAGTTAGTCTGTGTTTTTCTAACGATTCCTCAGTCCTGCACTTTCTCAGGCAAACTTCGCAACTAAATTTAACAGGTATATTTCTGGAAGTCATCCTCTTCCTTGATCGGCTCTTCTTGCGTAACTTTGTCAATGGAGCGCCAGCAATATTCCTCGGTGTTGGTTTACGTTTCCTCTTTTTCAGACTATCACATTTTTTCTCATGTTTTTCTAAAGTATCTGGGTCAAAAAAAACCTTTCCACATTCTCCACACACAAGGTTAAAGTCATCATCGTCGTCATCAGCGTCCTCATCCACAGTGTAATCCTCCGTCTCATCCTGATCATCGTACTTCTCCGTAACAACCTGTGACGCGACTCTACGTGTTGGTAAGGACTTCCTACGGCTCAACTTTTTCCTGCCTGTGCATGCACTTGAATTATCATTGTCTCTCATATCAAAATCCATGGCTGTTTTTTCACCTGATTCCCCACCATTTTGGTCAGGCAACTTGTCCGCTGCATTGAAGCCTACAACTTTGTCCAGCATATCCTTCCCACAGGTATCTCTAAGAACAATGCTTAAGTCTCTGCCGTACATCTTTTTACTGTGGTTGTCAAGGGCTAGCTTATCAACGCTGAAAAGAATTGAAACAGACTACTGAAAATATGCAAGTCGGAATAAAAATATTATTATAAAAATATAAAATATTATTAAATAATAAACAAATATCATATTTTCAGAATTTTCTTCACATGAGATGCCATTGTACCACACAGCATATTTGAACCATGAAGGTTGACTTTTAACAATTTTTATTAATAACTGGACGATGTTTATATTATTATTCAATGAGTTTTAAAATGTTTCCCATTCACCTCAAACAGTGGAAACAATAACAAGCATATACACAATGCACAACTTAGCCACACCCTGAAGAGGATTTCTAGTCTAGTATGCAGTACAGACCCAAATACATTCAACATCTACACTTCTACAGAAGTAGGGAGTCTCTTGTAGTTTTGGGATCGGGAAGTATTCAACCCCCCACCTTTTGATCTGGCCCATGCAACATTGCTAAAAAATAAATCATTTTCTCAGTAGAATTTCAGTACTTACAGAAAAACAGTTTTTCTGTTAAAAGAAATATCAGCACCTACTCTGGCATTGTTAACAAGAGTCTAGCCTTTTCTGAGTGTAGCTGACTGTTGCTAGTGGTGTATGAAGATTATTGACATGGGGTGGGGGACCTGATTGGGGACAACAGATTAAGTGGAGGAAGGTGGCACTCATATGATGCAAAGTCTAACCATTCGTGGTGCCAGTGGCGAATCGGGGGAGCACGTTTTGGAGGGGGGGGGGGTCATGTCATTCTGTGGAAAACACTGCTTTGAAACCACTTTTTTATAGTCTGAAAGTACCATTTTTGGGAATCTAGAGGAACCATAATTTTTTTACCTCAGCCCCAACCATGGTGAGACCATACCTCCATGGTGAGACTGAGGTGTTATTCAAGTTTCATTTATTGACTTGGCCATAAAAAATATAAAAAGTATATAAAAATAGAAATTTTTTGTTTGAATACACACATTGCCAAGTACAATTTAATATACATTAAAAAAAGTAAAACAAGAAATATATACAATACAATAAAGTCCTTCCTTGCCCCCCCCCCCCATTTTGAATCCCTGGATACGCCATTGCTTTAAAGAGAATGGGTGGGGTTGAAATTCAAAAAAAAAATGGAAAGTACACAATTTATGTCAGCCCGCCGCTGGTCTCAACACATTGAAACTGGCCACCAGCTTAAAAAGGTTGGATACCCGGGCTCCATGAGAACAAGTGCCAGTGCTTCCACATTAATCCAATTTTCAATGCAAGAATAATGTAAATGCTATTAACTAGAGCAACATTCAAAACATGTACATACCCAGTTCCATTCCTCCTCAGCCGCATTCTGGTTGTAGAGGGCACTTTACTACAGTTGCGACTTTCATAGCTTTGAAATGAATAAGAAAAGAGAATTAAGCGTTTTTATCCTGTCTCTGCAGGAGTATAGAGTATCATCAAATACATAGATTAAATTTGAGTTAAAAAAAAAAACTTAATATACAAAGTTTAATACATTACAAAGCAAAGGTCAGATTGCCTTTTTATAATTATACATACTGTATTTGTATTCCCATAGACTCTCCAGAACGAATTGTCTATGTATAATTTACATGTTCTTACATAGATAGTACATTGAATATTTGGTGGATTAATTGATTGATTGATTGAATGATTGGTTAGTGGTGGTTGTTGTTTAGTTGCTTGGTTGATGATTATTTGATTGGTTGGTTAGTCAATCCCAGAGTTGACTGATTGATTGGTTGGTTGGTGTGACTTCAGAAGACATAGGATTTTTTGTCTGAATACATGCCCATCCACTTTTACCAGGCTTCACAATGATGCTTTGCTTTAGTTGCATAATGATGTATTAGAAAGAAATAAACTAAACAGATAAAGACCCCAACATCCAATAAGAAATATAAATCAATAAAGTGATTCACTGATTATCACTCACTAGTCAATGAGGAAAATGGCAAGTTCTTCAGGGTTCTTCATTTGCAAAGCTGACCCAAGGTCACACCAACGCTGCCAGGCTGTCCCCAGGACTAGCTTCTCCGCGGCAACTAAAGCATGGTTCTCAGTTTCCTCCTCTTCTTGTTCATCATCATCATCCTCCTCATCATCATCATCATCATCATCTTCAGTGTTTACTTCCTCTATCACTTCCTTTTCTGCATCTGCCTGATTATCTTCCACTTTGATGTTCTTTTCTATGGATTTATTTTCACTATAACAAATTAGAATATAATATGTCAATAAAGAGTATGAAATAATCCTAAATTTAACCTCTCATCTTTGTTTATAAGAAAATTGCATTCTGTATGTTGCAGTTTGAAACCAGTATAAACTCTGGCCTTCGATTTCACTATTTAGATATATGGATGAAAAATCTCTTTCAGAAACAATCTGTTTTCTTTGTTCCCAATGTAATAAAATATGCAACTAAAATGAATTTGCTGAAAAACTAAAAAATTATATAGCTTTCTGTAAATTTGAGTTTGATGATTGCTAAAAGTGGATGATGTACCATTACTTTAAGATGTATTGTCCCATGAAAAATACCCAAAAATTCATTTCTAAAATTAATTTGCTGATTTTGAAGTAACATAAAAACTTTTTAGTCATTTCCACGGGCCAATACATCTTTAAAATTAAAAGAAAGGACTCATTATTTTTGTAAAAAAGAATATAACATAAAACCGTTTTGTCATTTCCACAGGCCAATACATCTTTAAAATTAAAAGAAAGGACTCATTAGTTTTGTAAAAAAAAAAAATTTTAATATACTGTAAAGCCCTTTATTTTCACGATTTTACAATTTGAAATATTTCACAGCCTTTTATTTTTGCAATTTAACAATTTCCAGTCATTTTTTAACATGTTGCAGAAGCCTACAGTTATGTCTATATTTTAGCTAAACCTCCTGATTTTGGTGGGTTTCTCCCGATTGTTATTCCATTGAAGGAAGGGTCCCAAGTCATTTCCGGGAGATCTGGTTAATGAAATAGGGGGGTGGGGGGAGGAAGCTAGAAAAAGGGCCACGTCTACCTCAGCCCCAGCATGGATGGGGCTATGGTGAGCAAATTTTTAAGAATAGTCACCTAAACTGTATAAGCCTGAAAATGGCAATGCTAGACTGTAAAAAATACTTTCCATATCAGTTTTCTGATGAAATGATTTGTTTCTTAGTTGTGTGGTAATGAAAAACCTATATTAGCCTTCCTTTATACTAAGTTTGCTGGAGATGAATGCATTTTTGCTTGCTTGCGGGAGTGCTGATACCTGATTGAAGGTACTGTAGGCCTACTGTAGCCTTAGCTAACACCACCACTCTAGAGGCCTACAGTAGCACTCTATCTGGCTGTGTGAAGTGTGATGTAATAGCCTAGCTAGCCAAGATAGCTATAGCTTTGCTTCTGAAGACTAAAATATCATTCAGAATTTTGCAATTAAGGGCGTGCGGCAAATTAAAAGGCTTTGCAGTATTGACCAACATCTTACCTTTGATGATCTACATCCTGTTCAAGCTCTTGAGCTACCTGAATCTGCCTGGCATCATAGAACCGTTTCTTTAGAGGATGTTGTGAGCTTGTACACTGGTTCCTACCAGACAATGGTAACCCAGCTGCTTCTGTTTTGTCACAACTACCATCCAGGGTTGCTGTGGCAATGTGACTGGAATTGGCCACTTCAGTTTTTAAAAAGATTTCAGAATGGCTGGAAGAAGATTTGTTTCCATCTCTACTGGTTGAGGTTTTCTTTATGAGGCTACCTGTTGGGTTCACGACAATGTTTGTATGATTACCATGGCAATTAGTTGCTGAGCTTCCATCAGCTTCAATGACAAGGGTACCAGGTGATGAAGGATGTTCATTCTCATCTTCACCTTCCTCCATTTCTTCTCCATCATCATCCTCTTCATCCACATCATCCTCTTCCTCTTCACTTGATCCCTTATCACTGCTGCTACCATCAGATTCTGACCCATCATCTTCATCATTATTTGAATTTTTCGATGCTGATGTTTGAGTTTGCTGTTGCCGTGTAGATTCCGCAGCATTTTCATTGGAACTGCTCTCAGCATCTTCATCTTCATCCGCTTCATCACTCTCCTCAGAATCTGTTGTCACATCTTCCTCAACATCAGAAGTCCCTAATGTATCCACATTATTAGACTGTTGTTCTAGAGTTGCATTTCTATGAGATTTCTTTGAGCTGTTGCTAGGACTGTATGTTCCATCGGGAAAATCAGTATTTTCTTCAGGTTGCCCAGATTTTTTTCCAGATTTCTGCATTACACCCTTGTCGGCTACATCATGTGATCTGCTTGGGTTAAGCACTGGTGTAATCAGAGCAAATTCTTCAACAGATTCAGAATCATATCTGTGTGCTGGTGGGTTAGTAGATTCAGGAGTAACACTGTAGTTAGTTGCTTTGATGTTTTCCATGGTTATAAGACGACCTTCATAAAAAGAATGGTAGTCTTTGTACACCTGCAATAAGTTGAAGAAAAAAAGAAGTGATCAATTGGTAAATTTTTAAGAAACATAGTAATACTATAAACTGATATTCATTAGAATAATATAAAATATTATTTACAATATTAAAAAAGAAAACTTAACAAATCCTGACCTTATATATAATTATATATCTATTTCTTGATTTTCTTTCAGTAACTGTTGTTTGCTTATTGTTTATTTCTGGTGGTTTTTGTGTCTACTGTCCAGGGCGGCTGTAGACACTTAGCTATCATCTCACTTGTAAGCTGCAAGAGTAGGAATGATAGGATGCATCACTCACAGCTAAAAATACTAAATGTGATGCCATGCCTAGATAAGACCTATCCTAGAAAGAACTAAAAAGTCAACAATCTGTTACTTGTACAGTTATTCAAGTGAATTGCCAACACAGAAATCATGGATGGATTATGAGTTAAAAGGAGCCAAAAAAAAAAAAAACCTTTTAAGCAGAAAACACACACGCAATTCTCCAATGAGTTCTAAAGTTCCTCATGGCCATGATAAAAAGTGGGGAATAGTGCAGCAATTGAATGGGATGAGTAGCGGAGGTGACAACAGATCATTGTAAAACATTTACTAAATATATTTTATGACAACCAGTGGTGTAAATCTAAGAATTTCTTTTTATTTTTAAGTTTGTTCTTGAATTGGAGGTCATTTTGTCACTTGGACCTTCCATAAAGGTGATCTCGGTCTCGAATTAGAGTGGTCTCATAATTAGAGGGTGAACTCAGTGTTAAAAGAAAGGTGGTCAGTTAGTACTTGGTAAAAATTGGTCTCGAATTAGAGGGGTCTCGGAATTAGAGGGATCTCGATATGGAGTGTGGACTGTGCCACCATGCCCAGAAAATATCTTTGATCTATGATAATGGGGGTTTTCTTTGAAAGAATAAAACATGCTAGCATCCACTTGACAGAATCCAAAAACTACTGCCATCAATGCTACGGTATTATGACTTGGCCTACCTATCTCAATATATGAACAATACAACCAGAATACTATCACAAATTCCATTTCAAATACCGAAAAACCTTGAATTAACGCCCAGTGGGCTTAATCTCGAGATGAATCCCATCTCAAATTGAAACCCCCTCTTTAGTTTGCAAAATCAGCCTCAAAAAGAAGACCATGGGCTTCTTTTCAAAATAGCATAGGCTTCTTTTTGAGTTAGTACTGTACAGTATATACACTGCGCATGAATTTCAGAAAAAAAAATAAATTAAAAACAAGCTTGGTTATACATTACAGTAGTTTAGGTGATTTAATGCCAGTTAAATACACTCCATAATACAGATTGATGTTACATTGACTTTTGTTTACTTGTAAAAAATTCACAAAATTTACAGCATTCATTTTGAAAAGAAGCCCCCCTCTTTACTTACTAAAGTAGTCTCGAAAAAAAGAAGCCCATCTCGAAAAGTAGCCCATCTCGAAAAGAAGCCCATGCAAAGTTGGCAAAAAAAAAGAAAAGAAGCCCATCGCTTCAATTCGAGGTTTTACGGTACCGTATCTATTCAAATTACCGTCAAAATGTGTTATTGCTTAAAGACTTATCATTATTGATCCCAACCAGAAAAAATATTGGAATTCTACTAAGTAAAACATTATTGTGATGAGAATGATATTGCTTCAGTTAGATTTGTTTGGAAAGGGGGATGGGTGGTGGGGTGTTTATTCGAGGGAGGCATTTATTCCAAATAAGGCTGTAGGGATATTGTGGGGCATAAAGTGGGGCATTTACTCATATAAATACAGTATCCCAGTAGGACAAGGCTATATGCACAGCGGCTGTGTATATAATGGTCGTAATGGATCTTATACACACAGCTGTGTCGCTGTGTATATAACAAAACCACTTTTGTTGTATACACAGCCGCTGTACGTATAGCCAGTCCCTAAATCCCATCCCAGAAATAGTCTACAGAGAGGAACTCCTTCTTTTCCCATGAAAAGTCATCATTGTTTTTTTGGTTTTTTTTTAGTAAAACAGACAGTAACTGTCTAATGAAAAAAAGCAAGCAACTGCACTCTCTCTCTCTCTCTTCCATATTTTGGCCTAAAACTAAACTAAGCCTAGCCTAGGCTATGCTTCCTAGGCCCAGACCTAACCTAAGTATGGGCCCTAAAAGACGTCCTCCTACTATTTTATTTAATATTTAGTTTACTTCATATAAATATCATTTAGGCCTATATGCGAATTGTAATCTAACCTATGTATATCGTAAAAGTCCCCGATTAACTCATTTTAACAGAAAAAAAGGGTTAAATATCGAGAGCTGAGCTCAAAATTTGCAGATCACCAGGCCCTTTAATTGCAAACGTGTATTGTTTAGAGAAGCAAGTATCTCGCCGAAAAACTGAGGGCGAGCCCCGGATATATCGGTTCGAAGCCAGACGAAATGAAAACAAACTAACGTACTCGGCCTTACTCCCTAACGTATATAACGTAAAACTGACTAACTTGCAATAACTTTCTCTGATTGAGTTACTGATGCAGAATGTGATTTAGCTTGAAGCATAATCGTCTTCAAATACTGAATTTTACTTCGCACATCTTCATACTCATTATCATAATATAAGCAGCACATATTCATCAAAATCTCAAGCGCAACCTGGCCAATTTCCCAATGACGATAGGTTGCCAGGTATATACATTTAAATTGAGCCCAATGATCTTCGAAACATTTTATATTTTCATTTGCGTTTTGCCGTCCTATAAAAATAATATAGTAAGACCATTGAAGTATTTAAATTATATATAATATATATAAAAACATATTGTATACGTCCATGGTAATATCTACTGTATCTTGTGTTTTTATCAATAAAAAATAAAATAAACATTTTAAATAGGCCTGACCTTAATTTAACTCCATGGGCTATGGCAGAGAGACTGTAGATGAATGAAGAGGAGGGGGAGGGGGGCTGTAAAATGGTCATGATGAGATGATGATGATGATTATGATGATGATGATAATAATGACGATGATTATGATAAAGATGATGATGATGATGGTAATAATAATAATAATGAGATTGAGATAATAAGGATGATGATGATATGGATGCTGATGATGGTAATATGTGACGATGACGAAGATGATGATGAGGATGATAAAATAATGATGAATAAGATAGCATTATTAGGCCTGAGACCTGTCTCTTATACACATCTAGATGTGTATAAGAGACAGGGAGTAACACTGTAGCCGACCCTGCGCTGTCATTTCACAATTCACTTGAATAGTGCGCCATCTATAGTTTCAAAACTCTGGTTTAAATTTTATCAAAATTATGGTTTAAATTTGTGTAGTGAAAATATGTACCGTAATAATTATTATTGTCTTACCGTATTTAACTCGTCAAAACCGAGATTAATTAAATTTACCATAAACAAACTGAATGTTATCCTTAAACAGTTACCGTACAGTATATACCAATGAGTATTGACTGTTAATTGATTGATAAATCTTGTGTTCCCTCCGAACTAGGGTAAATTTATGGGCCAAATTATACGATGCTTCATTTTTTTGTTGGCAATAGTTGTATAATGGTAGTAGAAAATCTATGATCATGATTAGAAAAATGTTTACATCACGTCACTCTTCATGATGTTCTTTAGCAACAATTCACATTCATTAGTAATATAATGTATGCAAAGCGACAGTTGGTGCAAACCATGCCTATCATACGACTCGGCCAATAGCTTAACAAATCACATCCCATCCTAGGCCTGGAGAGTCTAACACTTAAATCATCAAATACATATTGTAATAATAACATATAATTAGTTTTCATTTGCTTATTTTCTATAGGCCTATATAAAAGTTTAAAATAATGATTAGGTTTCAATCGTATTAAACGAACACCTTTCCTCCCCAGAAACACTGTGTCCCAAGTGTGGCAAATGAGTATATACCTCCTTGGTGCGACAACATATAATTTGACTGCCGACGGTGCCAGTCAGGCCGTGTCAGCGGGTCAGGAAACAATCCCCACCTTTACCTTCTTTGTTCGGTCATACATGAACCCCCGTTTTCCGACGCCACGAGGTCGTCTTTCTAAAAATAATTTTACGATCCAAAAAACGTTGTTTTAATTGCCAATTCACAATATCCATAATCTTCCCCCACCACGGATGTTATTCCTGGACCCTGACCGAGGTTCTAGGCGACCCCTTGTTTCGGCTTTTGATAGCAAATCTTTAATTTTGTAATCTAAAAAAAAAATTGGGCCGTAGGCCTACCATAAAAGCTCTTCCCGTGAACCCTACAAAGGTTTTTATTTATTCAGGTAAAACTGACAGACAATTATAATTAACAACTCACGTTGCATTGCATCATGAGTAGGCCTAATTGATGAGTTTACGGAGTGATAACATTTTTGTCTTGATCATCTTTAGTGAAAAAACAGTTGTATACACTGTGGTTGTATTTTAGAGAATTATAAATTAAGGCTAAATTTTATTTCATATTATGTGGTTCAAAGAACAATAAAACTGACAACACATAAGGAAAGAGAGAGAGAGAGAAAGAGAGAGGAGTGGGTGGGGGAGGGGGGAATAACTCAATTGGCCAGGACAGGATTGCAAAAAAGTAAAATAAATTACTCTTTAGTGGCTCTCCGATGTATTATTGTGATGATGATGATTAAAAATAATTACTTAGGAGCAATACAAATAGAACAAAGTACTGTATTCTGTATATTCATGATAATATTTACATGTACAACGCTGCATTCCAAAGATAATTTTAATGAAATGTTTGTACAAATTAAATGTTTGTACAATGTTGTCCGAAAGCTCTGATTATATTTTTGTCTGTTTACTTTTCAGCTGTTGCTTATCAATGTGTATCTCTATACCAAGAGCCTGCAATTTGTCCACCACCCCCTCCCCCCATACAGCTTTGTTGTTTTTTTTTGTTGTTTTTTTTTTGTTCTTTGCTTTTTTTGTTTTTTTCATTTATTTTGCCTTTTAATCTATATATACTGGGTATTTATATATAGGACTAACAATAAAAATTCTAACCATTATACTTTACACGTCAAAATGTTTTTAAATAATATTGTATCCTTTTATTGTATTCTTTGTTATTGAAGACCTTTTGTATTTGTTATAGGGCCTATCTTGTCGGTTTAATCCAATTTTCTATCTTATTTCCAGCAACCATTTGTTTATATCTTTTTGTGTTGTATAGGACACAATAAAGAAAACTTGCACTTGAAGAAGTTTTCGCAAGCTTACGAAAACAATAACGAATACGGTTACGTCATCAAATTATTTTTGGAAAACCCTCCGCCCCTCCCCCTGCAGTAGCTAGTGTAACAACGTAGGCGCTTCATGACTTTTGCATGAATCAAGGATTATATTCAGCTCATACATTGTTAAGAATGTTTGAAGCAAAATTGACGATAATGATAATGACGCATTCGTTAATCTTTTTGTACCGTAACCAATTGGTACGAGCAATATGAATTCAGAAGCTACCTGTCAAAAAAAAAAAAAACAACAAAAAAACCAAAAAAAAAAACCAAAAAAAAAAAACCAAAAAAAAAAAACAAAAAAACAAAAAAAAAAACAAAAACAAAACTATATTTATGTTCTAGATGTTATTATGTGCTGGTTAGGTCAAGTGAACAATTTGTATGCACAGTTTAACGTACCAGCAAGCGCTTCAATCACGAACCGCTAAACGTGACTGAATGATATTCAGTAATTTACATGAACAAACTATAAACAATTGTTTGATACAGGCCCATCTATTTATTAATATCGTACAACGTGCACGTGGATGCAGACACGTGTTTTGACATACACAAGTACATGGCTGATCTAATATCTGATTTTCTTTTGCTAGTGATAATATCCGGCGTACAATGCCAAGGAGGGGGAAGGGTCGCTTCCGCCATCCACGGGGGCAGGGTCGACGAATTGAATAGTTAAATGTGGATCCATGGTGTATCCCATCCCCTCTAACTTGGGTCGCCACCCAAAATTTGGTCGCCAAAATTTTTCGCCCTAGATTCACCACAGAGTTTAGATTACTGCCACATGCGCTGTGAATGTTGTGTGATAATGAACACATTCAGAGAGAGAAAACAGTTGAGTACGGTGTACCAGTGGCGTGTGGCCTAAAAAAAACTTGTTTGTTTGCCGTCATCCGCCACCCCTAAAACCCCGAAAAATTAGGGGCGGGTTTTTTTTTTTTTTCCAAAAAAGTTTTTTTTTGGAGTTTAAAAGATCAAATGAAAACCATTTTTTCGTCGATTTTGGAACAGATCCGTGTTAGGCCTATATGGAAATTTGTACTATTTTAAATTTTTTAAAACAAAAATATGATCGTTTTTCCGTGAAAAAATGATATTAAATTTTTTACAATGTGACAGCAAACAATCTTTTTTAGGCCAAAAATTAGGAATCTCGCAATAGGAAGGGCTGATGGGTGGGGGAGGGGAGGGACGGGCTCAGTTGTGGTGAGGGGAGCTAGCTCGTAAACTACCGTATGGTGTTATGATGTGTTTTTTACTTGACCGTGATTTTTTTTTTTTTGGGGGGGGGGGGGGGGGGGGGCTGGGGGGGGGGGTTGATGGTGGTGCACCATCCCCACCCTCCCCTAGATACGTCACTGCTATGCACATGACAAATTGAGCACAAGACAAGATACAATGTAAAGGTTATCCGTTGGTTTCAGTCATAACCAAAATATACAAATACAATATTTCAGGGGTGGCGCCAGAGGTAGGGGTGGGGCATTAATGGCCCAATCATGTTCTTTATTTCAACATCTAGATGTTGCATAGGTTTATCATGTTCAAATCTAATCTACGTATGTACGCATCCATATTATACTCTTTTCCAACATGAAAAGGGGAAATTTAACACACCACTCTGATTTCCTATCATACTCGCTCTTGCAAAGTCGGATTTTCAACCCCATCAGGTTCAACTAAACTATACACTCACTGCGTTCCTGTTTCAGTTTTTGTGTCTATGCCCTTTGTGTGTGGGGGTGGGGGTAGACACATATGTTGTCATCGCAATTGAACTTTCTCCTTTTCTTTTTCCCCCTTTTTTTCTAAAAAGTTTTGATGTACTCTGGTATTTAAGTTCAGTGGTGCAACACCTATGTGCTCTCATTTGCTAAAACCATAGGCTCACCTTAAGGTACAGTACCACTGTATATTTTTTTGTCCAGAACAATTGGCCCCTACTACGGCCGAGCGAGCCAATAAGCAGAATATATTAATAAGAACATCAAAATACGCCCTTAAAACATTAAAAAAATACTGAAGCAGGTGCACAGAGTTCTATGTCTGTCTCTTATACACATCTAGATGTGTATAAGAGACAGAGGTTATCCGTTGGTTTCAGTCATAACCAAAATATACAAATACAATATTTCAGGGGTGGCGCCAGCGGTAGGGGGTGGGGGATTAATGGCCCAATCATGTTCTTTATTTCAACATCTAGATGTTGCATAGGTTTATCATGTTCAAATCTAATCTACGTATGTACCGTACGCATCCATATTATACTCTTTTCCAACATGAAAAGGGGAAATTTAACACACCACTCTGATTTCCTATCATACTCGCTCTTGCAAAGTCGGATTTTCAACCCCATCAGGTTCAACTAAACTATACACTCACTGCGTTCCTGTTTCAGTTTTTGTGTCTATGCCCTTTGTGTGTGGGGGTGAGGGTAGACACATATGTTGTCATCGCAATTGAACTTTCTCCTTTTCTTTTTTCCCCTTTTTTTTCACTTTCCATAAGCACCCCCTCCCCACCCCAACCCCTAAATCCGCACCTGACTATGGAAACCCTGTATCCTACAGTTGTTACCGGTATGTTTGGAGGAACCAAGGTTGCAGACGGTGCGATCGCATCACCCCCTTAAATTGTATTAAGAAAAATTATTGTTGTATTGTATTGTTGATATGATTTACCGGTACCGGTCAGATTTTTAAGGTATGGATGTGCAATTTTCGGACACCTAGAGGTCCTATTCTCAAAATGTTCTACCCTCAGCACCAACCATGGTGAGGTTGAGGTGGTGTGAACTCTCACTGTACACATAACCTACCGCCAAATCCTGCATCCGCCCCAAAATGTAGGCTGTGTATTTTTTTTCAGAGAATTTGGGAGTTAGAAACCTGGAGCAAGTAAAGTTGTTAGAAAATCGCGCGCACAGTAGGCCTATAGTACCACGTCAAAATTCCCTGGTATATTAATCAATTATACTTAGGCCTATAGTATAATTTCACACCATAATGTAAAAATGATTAAAACCGAACGCAATATGACGTCACTCGGGTGCTTGATTGCTCGTACGTAACATTTTCACACCAAATATACTCCGACATCAGTGATGGGCCATTATCTAGTCAGCTTCTCCCCTTTGTCTTTTTAACAAAAGACAAAAAAAAAGCTACGTTTAGCGCCCTAGATGCGTTACCACATCAATTTTAATTTTTACCAAATAAGCCTTTATATTTATATATAGCCTAATATATTTTATATATAGTCTAAGTTAAAGTGTCTGTGGTTAAAATAAATAAATAAAAATTGTATGCGTATGTATGTTGTAGGCCTATACATTCAACAAATGGTGGGCCTAGTTGAGACAGTATCCCTACTTGATGTTGCAAAAAATGCACGGTGACTTCTCTGGAGTTGTTATGGCAACTCACTCGTCCCACTTGAGTATTGATATGTAACGATCAGAAAGAATGCACGATTTTTGTGATGCGAAATTTCAATCTATCACCTTATATTTTTATATCGTTTTATCGATTATTCATATTTTATGGATCCTATATTATAGGCCTATAAGTATTCTAGCTTGTGATCTATATTTCACGGTCACTAGAAATCAGGCTGCCTACAACATCCGGTGCTTTCCATAAGTCAACTGCCAATAGATTGAGACTTGGAGAACACTAGGCTACTTAGTCTCTATTAGCATAATAAATGATTCGTCTATTATTAAATGAGGGAATACTAATATATGAATAACAATTGATATTTTCTTAGAGCGCTTCACATAATTCGTAATTAAGTGTTTTAAATAGAGAGTAATTCATTTGATATAATTTAGAATTTAACAATTAATTAAAATAATAAGGTTATGTAGGTATTTTAAAGATATTTTGCCATGTGAGGTTGTGTCACCTCAGCCAAAAATTATATCGGCCAAAAGCACGAGCCAGCAACATACGCTTACGCAAGGCAGCAGAACATTTCTTTCGACCTAATTTTGTCTGAACTGAGTGAAAGAGAGCGCGCATGTGTTTGGAATCGTGTCTTCGTCTCATCGTCTCATTCACAATTCATTCTGATCTGGAAGAGAGAGGACGGGAGATTCAAGTTTACTTCCTTTCTACTGTCAACTGTATGAATCTTAATTTTTTCAAACTGGTAAGATTTATTCAATTTATGTTTGACATTTGCAAATGTTCTCTGTCAAATTTCCATTGAGAACAATAATGTGTGATGTTGACAACGATTTGCATTGTCATAATACAGTTTACAACATATCAGATTTATTTAATTTAATTGTAGTGTGCTAACCTTGGATTTTGTAGTAGGTCTCTCATATGCAGATTTAATACCGTATCACGTACTTAATCTTTTTTGTAATTTCGGCATGTTGTAGGCCTACTGTCTTATTATTTACTGTAGTATCATGAAGGTATCGTGGTTCCATCATCATGTTCTCAACTTCACTTCCATCGTCTCCCGAATACGGTAGCAATTGGCATTTTATTTCGAGGCCTAATGATGCCCAATAATTAATAAACTTTCCACCTCAAATTTGTATATTGCGACCTTGCTATCAACTCAGTAGGTCCACTAATAATTGTAATTGTACAGGTCTCCCTCCAATTAAAGACCACTTTTGGACTGGGGTGTCTATGATAGCAGCCCTGGTCTCTAACTAGAATAATAAAAATAAAAGACATTTGTTTAATTTGGGACCACAGAAAAGTGGTAGAACAACTTTCACTACTTCCGTACAGAGATGTTTAAGGGCAAGAGACAAAAAGAGCTTCAGTTTTTGAAAATAAACAGACAGGTCGACAATGTTGCCTTGGCAATGCAGAATAAAAGCTAAAATGCAGTGTATGTTAATATTAATATTAAAGTTATATAAATATTGCAAAACAAAATTTAGATCACAATATAAAAAAGTACATAGATAGATAATAGTACATAATACTTAATAGATAATACAACATAGACCTACAATGCATAACTACAGAACAACATGATTCCATTTTAACACTACAACAATTTGTAGCCCCGCTCTTAAAAAGCACCACTCTCGAATAGGCACCGCACTGAAGCCTCCGGCTTCATAACGTGTCACAGTGCTTTTTATTATTTGTGACAAGCAAAATGGTAAAAAGATTTTATCAGGGGTTGTCTGTATACCCCCACATAATCTATGCTCCTGTCTGCCACACTGCTTCCGCCACCACTGCATCATTTCCTTTGAAAATATTGACACCACCAATTATTGTTACCAGTAAACTGTACAATATTTGATGTCTAAGAATTAGTACCTTGTATGTTATACTTCCAAAAGACATCCACAGAGAATAATTACTGAAAGTTGACAAGAGTGGATTTGTGGCTTTCTGGTGAGGGCTACATTTGATTTTATTTGGATTGGTGTTTGTGGTTAACCAAAATCAGTGTAATTCTTGGTAGAAAGCATTCAATGAACTAATCTTATGTGTAGAGGATTTAAATACAGTAATTCCGATCGATGATTCTGAGAATTCTGAGCTAGTAATGGTAAAAAGTTTTGATGTACTCTGGTATTTAAGTTCAGTGGTGCAACACCTATGTGCTCTCATTTGCTAAAACCATAGGCTCACCTTAAGGTACAGTACCACTGTATATTTTTTTGTCCAGAACAATTGGCCCCTACTACGGCCGAGCGAGCCAATAAGCAGAATATATTAATAAGAACATCAAAATACGCCCTTAAAACATTAAAAAAATACTGAAGCAGGTGCACAGAGTTCTATGTGGCCCCAGCCACCAGGTTTAGTATAGGGTCCAAAGAAGCCTGCCAGAGGGCTCAGGCCTCTTTGTAACTGGTGGCTTATCTAGTGGGTACATAGGGTACATAGGGTTGGTGCACGCCCCAAAAAATGTATTCTCCCATTCTCCATTTTCCCAGTCCTTCCACTGGAAATTTTAAAAGCACAAAAATTATGCTCTAGTAGTTAAAACCCACTGCATATCACCTTATTTTGCTAGCTAGTAACCCCTCACTTAATCATCGAGCCCACCCACATCATTTTATTCCCCCACCAAGCAGTCCCCACTTGCATTTTAAAATATAGGAAGTTAAAAATACATGGTTCTGAATTTTTAAAACTAGTAAACGTGCTTTCGCACATGCTTTCCTGATTTCTACGATAACCATGATTGGTCAACTCCTGAACCAAGGTCAAAATTCATCAATGCATAGCTGGACGTGTTTGCTAATCTGGGTCCTTCAGGTGGCGTAGCACAACAAACGAAAGCTACCATACTAGGTAGTACATCGGGTATATTGGCGCGGCATGGTAATCGACATTCAAGTTTAGACATTAATACTTCGTACTGTTAAGGCAACATAATTATATGTGTCAGAACATAACATTTAATGTAGTACTAATGAAAATGCATACTGTATAAATAATATATAGAAGAAATACCTCAAATATTGAAGATCGGATATATTTTTATTAAATAATCTAAATATAAAAAAAGTTTATAAAGTCTTAATATACTGTACATTTTTTTATTGGCTCTTCCGCTGTTTATTTATCATTTTGTGATTAGGCCAAATTAATAAAAACAAACTATTTTTAAATCATTTCAGCAATAATTATGGTAAAGTTAAAAGTGAAACACTAATTACCTCCTCCTAGTGTTTAGGGAAATAGATAGTTTAAATTTAGTTCAGAAACCCTAATATTAGAAACGTAGTACTTATAATTTTAAGATAAACAGTTTCCCTTATGGGTGTTTATTAATTACAAGTTTCTCTAGCACTTGCTGTTGACCAGGATATTGTGTATTATGGGATTTCATATCAATTCCGTTGAAATGTAACAAGTCTATAAATAAATTACTTCCCATAGAAATATATACTCTACCGTCTGCACGAGTCCTATAATTATGTCTCGTACACAAACATCCATTTAGAAAGAAAGTCTATATCCTGTTTACTCATAAAAATTAATTTGTGAAAATGTTATTGTCATTTTTCAAGATTCGTAATGTCAGAGCCTAAACTGTTGTGTTCTATAATTATTGAATAATAACTTCTTTAGCGTGTATATCCTTCTTACAAGATTTACCGTATAATATGTTGACAAAACAAATATGACTGATACAGTTCATTACTATTTAAATTTCTAGTTCAGAGAAACTAACATTAAATATTTATTCATTCATTTATTGCTTTCCAAGGAATGCACACTGTGAGTTAAAAGTAAAGATGTGTTTCATTTTGAAAATTTTAAATATTTAAATATTTTCCAGACTCGCAATGAAGATTCTAAAATATATTTCCCATTAAATAGAAAAATGGAAATAGAACCAAGTCAACATCCACAAATTTATTTATTATTATCAAAATGCATTAGTTAATTTTAAATGTAATTTTCTAACGACTTTAACTTTCATTAAATTATTTGGAATTTTGTTGGTTTTTTAATGAAAAATATTGTCATTTCTATTGTTATTATTATTTTTTTTTTATTGTTACTGTATTTATTTATATTATTATTTATATTGATTAAATACTGTATTAATTTATATTATCATTATTTATATTGATTAAATACTGTATTAATTTATATTATCATTATTTATATTGATTAAATATATTGTACTGCATATTTATAAATTAATGTGCAAGAAATATTTAATTAGTATTAAAGGATAATAATAAATATATAATATTAATTATTATATTATAAATTGTGATAATAAATATAATCTGGATATTTTCAAATTTTTAGCTTCATTTAATGTTTATTTTCCGTCTTTTGCTTCTTTGTTTTGTTTTGTTTTGTTTTTTTTTTCATTTTCTGTGTGTTTCTTTTTTCCAAGCACTCCTTCATAAATTGGTTCATAGAGCCATATAATGCTCCTTAAAGTCAATGTTTGGATTGGATTAAATTAAAATTCATTATTATTATTATTATTGTTATTATTATTATTATTATTCATTATAAGCCTTAAATTTTATTCCTATTTAATCAAGTGCTAATGTCTTATTTTGAGGCATAGGGTGTTGAGATAGTTCCTATTTCAGTCAGGATTGTGCCCTGCCTATAGCACCACTTTCCATAGGAATCGTGAATCGTACTTATGAGGAAATTCAAATATACTGGTAGTCTATGGCTTCGCTTGTGTACTTGTTTAATTAAGTGGTTATTCAATAAATATGGATTCATCAAGGTTGTTACCCTTAAACATACAATTGATATTGCATAATTGGATCTAGGGTCTGCTGCAACAATTCGATCATTACTATTTTCCTTACAATAACAACTTTAATGTAATATACTCTTATTCGTATTTGCATATAGTATACACATCCTGAAAAGCAACTACAAATAGAATTTACTCTAGAAAAAATACCTGTATAAACAGTATAGGGATTATAAATATTGATATTTAAAATACTTTGCATAATTAATGTTATTCTAATTATTTTACAGCGATATGGTAAATATCTTAATTATGTTATTTTGAATTAATTTGTATTAGATTATTTTTGTGTAGTTTCATTTAAAATTCATATTTACAATTTTTGTTTATGGCAAATTTCCATAAATCAAATGAAAAAAAAATTGAAAAATTCAACAGCTTTTGATTTATAGTCTATAGAATCGAAATAAAATGTTAATGTAATTATAATCAATTACCTCTTGTATGCTTGTATTTACTGTATATTGTTTATCTTGAAGTCGTAATATATATTAACATTCCCCCAGACATGAACTTGACTTTTTTTATTAAATAAAAGGAATCTGAATGAATCAGAACATAAATTGGGTAGAGACCTAGAAGCTAGTGAAAATCCTTAGAGAAATGAATAAAAACATCAGCAGTTAATCAAATAAGTCTACCGTATGAAAAGCAAAAAATATATGAGCAAAATAAATCATTAATGATTTTGGAACAATATACTGTAGAGATGCATTCTTTTCATATGATAGCTAGCTAGATTGCAAAACAGCGTTGAATTGTGCCCAGCAACAAACTGTCCCAATTTCTAATGCCTTCGTGCAAAGCAAAGAGGTGAACGATCTCGTATTTTAGAAGTAGGACGAGAATCCACACTGTTTCACTTAACTGCTATTTTTAACGCTCTCTGGAGGCTGTGATAGGAGTCAAATAAG